GGTCTTAAGCTACTGAAAGAACGGAACTTAGAGCAAGGGAAAATTGAAATCATTCGGAACATACACAGCGGACATACCACATATGTAGGGGTAAACAAACAATGAAATACCAGTATCCGTATGTATTAGTATTAGACAGTTGTCTTTAACACCATCATGGAAATAAGTCAAAACTGCAGACATAGAATACAGAATAGGAAAACAGGAATTGAAAATAGTTTGCCACGCTGAATAAGAGAACAATCTGCAAAATCTACTGCACAAATTGGAAACAGTTGCAAGCAATACCATGTGAAGGTGGATAATCATATATTGGGGAAATGGAAACACGTTTAAACGTTGCACACACAATGATGGATGAAATCCAAAGGCCGGAATCACAGGAACATGTATGGTCTCTTTCGCATAAAATCCTATTAAAACTTACAATTCACTTCCACTGGATATTATTGCTTGTTCATGAACTTCTACATTCAAAAAGAAATTTAAAGGGTTTGCTGAGATTAGCAAGAATCTGATTCGCTTAATTTCTTTACATTCTGTTACTGTTTTTCTTTTAGTAGTTTTGAATATCCTTGCTTTTTCCAGTGCTTGTTAATTTCATTTATTTATTTATTTTTCTCTTCTTTTCGGAATATAATATTTTTATATTCATGCTCCTTTGAGGTGGATTTAAGTGCTGCTATTTATATTTGTTAGTTTTTTTAAGTATTTCTTTGTTTTTGTTGCTATGTACTATATTGAATCGGACCTCACGACCTATATCACCTCTATGGTGGTATATTCTTTTGCTGTATTTTGATAAAGACAATTTGTTATCATTACTATTATTAATGCATTATAAACATCAAGAATCATTAATGGATCTCAAGAACCATTAAACAGACATATGTGCCTTGTCAGAGGCTGTGCTGGCAAAATGGGTAGACCATTGACGCTATACTCAGCTTAAGAAAAATTGAGCTTTATAGTATATAGTAATGCATGCATTTGATAGGGCGAGACGGTCTTAAGCTACTGAAAGAACGGAACTTAGAGCAAGGGAAAATTGAAATCATTCGGAACATACACAGCGGACATACCACATATGTAGGGGTAAACAAACAATGAAATACCAGTATCCGTATGTATTAGTATTAGACAGTTGTCTTTAACACCATCATGGAAATAAGTCAAAACTGCAGACATAGAATACAGAATAGGAAAACAGGAATTGAAAATAGTTTGCCACGCTGAATAAGAGAACAATCTGCAAAATCTACTGCACAAATTGGAAACAGTTGCAAGCAATACCATGTGAAGGTGGATAATCATATATTGGGGAAATGGAAACACGTTTAAACGTTGCACACACAATGATGGATGAAATCCAAAGGCCGGAATCACAGGAACATGTATGGTCCAAACAACACAACATCAAATGGTCCGAAGCTCTGATAGTTCACAGGGAATCACATTATAAAAGTTCGAGAACGCTGTATTTATTTAAAACTCTGGAAACATCCAAGCGTGGAAATAAAATTGCGAAGCAGGTTAAAACTTTTAAATTTCCAATATGTAACATTACGAGCAATAGGAACCTGAAACAAGAAGCAAAAATGCAAACAATACCAGCAGCCAGGATATTGGCATTCCTCCGAAATAAATGTTTAAATGTTGGAAGCAAAACCTGTAGCTACTAGACAATTTCTAAAAACGATTAAAATGAAAACATTACCAACGCTCAGAGACAGAAGAAGCAAGAATGAGATTAAAACAATATGTGATGAGCCTGAAATAGACGAACAGCATTGAGAGACCATGCCAATTGGATGGATGGCGCGAATAATAAAAATCGCAAAGGAAGACAAAAACGCTGGTATGAGATTTTGACTTCAGAATCACAACTTAGGTTGCCTCTTTGGAGAAGTCAAAACATAGTCTTGAAATAAGAAGAAGAAGAAAATAGGCTTCACGGGCAAAAAAATTCGGACTAGAAAATGTGTTATTAATCTTCGCCTTTTAATTATAAAAAAATGTGGTACTTAACTTGATCTATTCATTTAATTTTACCCAGTCTTAGATACATTTTATAGATATAATTTTAAACATTGGTGAAATTAAACTCATATGATATATTCTTATTGTTGCAAAATTATATTTGCAAATTTAAAAAAAAAACAATGTATTATTTTTAACATTATTTGATAACCAGCTAATTGACAGTTTAATTAACAACAATAATCTTGTTATGGGGATACCAAAGACATCCCTACTCGTGAAGGGTAAAAGTAGAGAGCCATGTGTAAAATTCCTAAAACTAGTTTTGTTAGGAAAGATACTAAACAATATTTATTTATTTATGTATGCATTTATGTTTAAATCTAAAATAAATTCACAAATTATTTTTATTACCTACTTAAATTACTTAAAATTATTCACATAATATATCAGTATCACTATCGCTATCATGGCCTGTTCTAATTATTATTTGTTCTATATTATTTGCAATATGGATATACGATTGTTCTGCTTTTTCTATATGCAAAATAGTTATTCTTTTACGCCTTTTTGATGGCGCTTTTGTTTTACACTTATCAGTTGAGTCAACCCAACCCTTTTCCGGGGTATCATAAGTGTCGAACCAGGTTTCATCCAAGTAAATAATTGGCCTTTGTTGTTCTCTGTAAATCCTAATTTTTTCTAGATATTCCAGTAGCCATTTCCGAATTCTAAAAGATTCCATTAAAACTTGCCTTTGGTCAATTTTTTTAAATCTAAAACCCATGTGTTGAATACACTTCCATAAGTTAGTTCTGCCACATTTAATACCGGTTTCATTTTTTTCAAGCCTCCTAATTAAGATATATAATGTAGGCACGCTTTGTTCCTCGTATAACTAGTAAATTTTACGCCGTATTATATCTTGATCACTTTCAGCTACACTCGAGGAAATGTCAGCATCGGTTCTTTTTTTCTTCGCCGAAATGGGACTATTCACAATTTTCCATGCAGTTCATGTTGGAATTTTCGTCAATGTGGCCGTTTCTTCAAAAGATGCTTGCTTGCTGCCACCATGTTCAATGAGAGCCAAATTAACATTGTTTATAACTTCCTTAGTTTCAATAGAATAGTATTTTCTATATTTGGGCGGGAGCATCTACTGAGATACACTAGACTCGCACATATTTTGCATAATTCGCACACGATTCAACACACAAAATAAGAATAATTACTAATAAACTTAAACTAAGTAGTATACCAAACTAAAGAATATTAAACACAGGTAGGTATAAAATTATTTTCCATTACGGACCACAATTTTACCAGAATTTAAATTTCGAAACTTTAGGTAATAGTCTTAATAGGTCTAAAGGTAATAATATATTAATAGCCACCCTTAGATAATCCCATTCAAAAGCAACTGGTCACTTTCTGATATCTATGAACAGACCATACCGATTCTGTTTCCACACTGTTACGACCATCGCATTCCTTTCTTTCATATTAAGATTAATGACTATCAGATCACTCGAAATCTGTTCACCTGCTTAGATGTGGCACCCACTATGGCCATAAACAAATAAGACGCACAAAGATCAAATGTTCCAAACACCTGTTTTGTTCTTGAGAAGTCTGTAAATGAAGAGGAAGTATGTAGCGATCTTTAAGTGTGAAGTGAAGTGAAGTGAAGTGAAAGTGAGATACACAAAGATCTAGCAGGTCAAATTACTTTTTGGTTCAGCTGGAATAAATGGCCTTATTTGAATCAAACGTCTGATAACCTTTTTGTTAAGTTTCATTCATTGTTCCCTTTTCTGCAGCTAAACAACGCACTGTACTTTATTCGCTTTTAAATACATCGAAAAAATTAGGATTCGTGTCTCTACAAAACTTAACGGAATTGTTCCTAGTCAATAAAACTGATACTGATACGGTGCAAAGTTGAGATCTATATTCCTTACGATTAGAATTAGAGCGATGGTTTCTATTAAGATGCCCCTAACTGATCTGATCTATTACATCGATAATGATCAACAGACGTAAAATTTTGAAAATATGGAATATATTATTTCTGACACTTTTATCTGAATTTCCAAAAAGCAAATAAGAAAATAAATATTTTAGGTTTACTTACTCAAAGTTGAAAGGAACATAATGATAAATTATGTCCCATTATTTTCATTCACAAAATTTGTCTTTCTATTTTATGTAAATTGGTGGGAACCTAACTTATGATCGATTCGAGGTATATTGTTCTTTAAAACTAAAATACACAATTTTACAAAATTATAATTTTTACGATAGAACCCTTAAAAACATAGTTTGTCAAAGTTTGTATGAATTCTTTTTTTTTGCTTTTAATAAAAGTTCTGCCAGGAGTTGTTTTTTTTTTTAATACAGTTTATTATATACATGATAATACATGATAATGATCAATAGAGGTAAAATTTAAAACAAACCTAACTTATCATCGATTCGAGGTATATAGTTCTTTAAAACTAAAATACACAAATTTAGAAAATTATAATTTTTAATACATAACCTTTAAAAACAAAGTTTGCCCAAGTTTGTATGAACTCTTTTCCATTTCTTTTAATAAAAGTTCTGTTAGGGGTTCTTTTTTTTAATACAGTTTATCGTATCATTTTTAGTTTCCGGTCTATTACATCGATAATGATAAACAGATGTAAAATTTTGAAAATATGGAATGTGACACTTTTATCTGAATTTCCGAAAAGCAAATAAAAAATGAAATATTTAATTAATAACAAATTATATCACATTATTTTCATTCACAAAATTTGTATGTAGTCCTTTAAAAACAAAGTTTGGCAAAGTTTGTATGAACTCTTTTTTTTTGCTTTTGATAACAGTTCTGCTAGGGGTTGTTTTTTTTTTAATACAGTTTATCGTATCATTTTTAGTTTCTGATCTATTACGTTGATAATGATCAACGGACGTAAAAATTTTAATTTCCGAAAAGCAAATAAAAACCGAAATATTTTAAATTTACTTACTCAAAGTTGAAAGGAACATAATGACAAATCCTGCAAACATGGGGATGCTGTAGCCAATTCTGAAAAAAATAACCCAAAGGCAACAATAACGTGGTTTCGCATGGTTCAAAATCAATATTATTAATTTCTGTAACTTACTTGTGAGTCAACGGACCAACGAAAGGATTGGCCATTAACTGCACAAATGCCTTCGAGGCGAACAGCATGCCCACTTCCAGAGTTTCTTGCAGCAAATCTTTATGTATTCTTTGTTTCTCCGTTTCCTTCTGTTTTAATTCAGCCTCGTACGCAGTTGTAACATTAACTGCAATACGAAATAAATTAACGTAGCGAACGCACCCCGTAGTATCTAGCAACTTACCATCGTCGTAGTTTCCTGTGGTTGTAATTAACGTTTCATTACCATCCCTGTTCTGCGGGGGTAACATTTTGATGTATTTCTCGCAAGGATTCTCGGTTGTGGTGGTGGTGGTTGGCAGCGGAGGCGGCCTACCGAGCGGTGCGTCTGGATGATTGATGTCGTACAAAAACTCCGGAATTATTGGCACTATAATTAAAAAACAGAAAAATTGGTATAAAGTTATACAACAGAACATATAAGGCAAATTGAAAGGTATACTCCAGTTGTGCAGTTACGTCACGTATAGTGATGTAATCAAAAATGATTCGTATGTCTTGGCTATGTGGCTACCATAACCATGAGTAAGTGGACCCTCACTTGACGTGATCTTATTTACTACTTGATCATAAAAAATTAATCTATATATATTTTTTATATGTGCTTATGACGGAAAATTGATCCCTCAAACGATTTTTTTTTATTTTAACAACATTTTAAGCACTTTTAATTAAAAAATGAATTAAATTCCAACCGTAAGAGATAAAATTTAAATATACTTTGAGAATACATTAACCACTTAAAGTTATTTGTTAATTTTCGTATTCTTAACTAGCTTTTAAGTTAACAAATGAAAATTTAACGGACTTCTTCACATGCTTTACACATTTAAGTTTAAGATTTCGGAAGAAAATTTCACTGCTCGTCATTAATTTAAACAAAATGAATCTATTTATGACAGTGCGCCGGGCACCGAGCGCCGAGCTGCCGATCGTCTCGAACTGCATTGACGGTTTTATCAGTGATAATTTAAAATAATAATACAAAATAATATTATAAAGCAAAATTCATTATTATTTATGTTATTTTATTATAATTAATATTAATAAAATTTTATATATTTAAACAATATTCACAATCATAACATACCGAATAGAACAAACAAGCTTAAATAATTAAATTGTAAATTTGTCGTCAGTTATTTTTATTAAAAAAAAAACTTAATATATTTTTTTAAATAAATACTTTTTCATCCTCTGAAACAAGCCTGCATTCAAGTGAAAAATGTTCCAATGGTTTGTAATAATGAAATCGAACGAATCGTGGTTGGCATTTTTTTAAAAAGAACTTTGAGCCCACTGAAAAAAGCAAAGTGGATTTGCTACGTGGTTGTTTTTATCACGTTGGAGACTAGCACGATAAGCTTGCCTTTTTACGCTTCCTGCTAAGCCATCACATATTCCTTCGCCATGAGATGTAGCGAAAAAGTCAGCATCAACACCAAAATAGTTTTTATAATTAACTAAATTGGCAAAATTATATTTTAATAATAATTTAAACCAAGTTTTTAATCACACAATTTCATAATTCACTCGGCCCATTTTGAATCACATAAAATATTAGTATCACAATTAAAAATTATAATACTAAAATATTAACTAAAAAATACAACTCAATAGCACTTCAGCTTTAATTTTTAATAATTATTTCATGCTTTGCGTATAAACTTATGTCACGAATAGACAGGAATGACTTCTAAAATGATTTTCTTATTTACTGGGATACGCGAAAAACAAATGGAAATCGTAACGGAGCGGTTTTTCTTTCGTTAACTAAAGATGGAGTGGTGACTAGACGAGCAGTGAAATTTTCATCCGCAATCTTAAACTTAAATCGATAAAGCATGTGACCCATAAAAAAACATGATTTTTTTTTACCAAGAAATCAGTCAAATTTTCATTTGTTAACTTATAAGCTAGTTAATAATACGAAAATAAACAAATTATTGTTAAGCCATTAAGATATTCTTAAAGTATAGTCATTTGAACATAGATGCTGAAAATTTTATAAATTTATCTCTTACGGTTGATTTTTAATCCATTTTTTAATTACAATTTAAAATTTTCCTTCCAAAAAAAAAATCGTTAGAATCACAATTTTAAAAAATCGTTTGGGTGATCAATTTTTCATTATGAGGACTTATAAAAAATATATATAGATTAAATTTTTATGATCAAGTGGTAAATGTCGTGATCTTACTCTCATAAATAACGATTTCAAAACTGACAAAACAAAATTCTGTGTCAATTTACGACATCCCGCAATGCATTAGAGTAAAGGAATATATTTTTCATAAAACTTTAGTAGTTCAGATAATAATGAATAAACTTCTTCAAAATGATGATGATAGATATCTGCCCGCGGTAGATTCTCCCAGGATAACCTTAGCTCACAACCTAGAAGTTGCACCGAGTGCCTCATATTATTAGGTGACTCATATACTTTTCTCAAAACCTGCCCGCGATGGAGAAACTACATCGGTATGTAATTTAATAATAATAATAATAATAATAATAATAATAATAATAATAATAATAATAATAATAATAATAATAATAATAATAATAATAATAACAATAACAATAACAATAACAATAATAATAATAATAATAATAATAATAATGCAGAACAAAACCCTCTAGCCTATTCCAGGACACTGCACCCAACATAGAGGAACCGCCGTCAGTGTCACAAGTAAACAATTTCTGCAGGGAACTCTATGAGGCAGCGACACTATTACAAGTACACACTCCCGCACTGAACAACTACAGAAAGTATTGTCAAAACATACACCTTTAATACATCTGTCGGAAATGCTTAAAGTCACCGACCCTCTATTTCGTTGCATACAACACCTAATGTCGCTGTGGGGAACACGATTTTCCTTATCATCTGGAAAGGGTAAGTTCTCGATAGACCCTGTAAGTTTTCCAAGGCGCATTTTCTCGCTCCCTATCTCCTTGTCCCTTCGCAAGACTCGTGGACCGCCGCGAAATAGAACTCCGAAAGTCACTTACCTTTTTTTACATGGACGGCTTGAAGCTTTACGCAACTAGTCAAAAAGACCTACAACAATCTGTAAAAATTGTCCAAGAATATTCCAGAGATATAGCAAGGGAGTTTGGCCTTGATAGGTGTGCCGTGTTGACATTGCAGAGGTGCGGAAACCATCCAGAAAATAAGCAACTGTTTCACGGAGCAATACTGCGTCACCCTGAGGACAACGGACCATATAGGTATCTCGGGGTCGATGAACACGAACCACAAGACACCGAGAATGTAAAACTACTCTAAGAAGTAGGTATAGGCAGCCCCCACTGAAAACATGGCAATCAGAACTCTCCAGTATCAATAAAGTGGCCTCTAAGAATATGCTTGCGGTGCCGGTGCTTCTCTATTTCTTCGGCGTGGTGATGTGGAAAAGAGAAGAGTTGCGATACCTTCCACGAGATCAGGAACGGGCTTCCAATTCTGGAATGCATGACAGGCTTGTCTTGGGCGTTGCCTGCAAAATCGCCAATAGCGTGGACCCACTTCTGAGACTCGTGAGGGATCATGAAGCTGCCAATGTCGGAGCATTCCTCTGTGGAGCAGTAGGCCAAACGGCAGACCGTTTAGGTCTCACCTTCACATTAGTTGCAGATAACCAGCACTCCCTTACTAAACTTAACCCAGATGTCCTGAAATCCCAGATTAAGGGAGCAGAACAGCAAAAGCTCCAAGAAGACCACGTTAGTAAGCCGCAGCATGGATTGTTCTACAGGCACCTATCTAGGAGACTATCTTTCGGGTTCCTAAGATCTGCTAGCCTTAAGTCTGAGACTGGGAGATTTCTGCATGCTTGCCATGATAGAGTAATTAACATCCTTGCATACCGACAATTCCCTTATGTCTCTGACATTAGATGCGGGACCTGCCGTCAGCATCCCGAGACTCTTATACAGTTACTAGGAGCTTGCCTGGTACACCGGGGTTCGGGTTACATCTAAAGGTAGAATGCGGCTCCTCGGGTGCTTTACTATCACCTGAGGTATTCCTACGGCATTAATGAAACATCAGTGCCCCCATAGCTTCCAGGTTATTTAAACAGCAGTAGAAAACAACAACTGCCGCATCTACTGGAATTATGCTTTCCCCACTATAATAAGATGGGCATAGTTCTGTCGGAAAAACGAAGTAACTCGATGTTTGTCATAGAGTTCTCTACTCCAGTCGAAACCGACATGGAGATCTAAGAAAGAGAAAAGCGAGCGAAATATACAGAACCTGTTGGCGAGTTGCGCGGGTTATATGCCGAATGCACAGTTCACTTTTTGGTCCTAATCGTCGGCGTTTTGAGGGGAATGAGAAACACATTCCAGTCACTACATAAAATAAGTGTAAGTATGAGGTCTAGCTTGCAACTACTCCCATCTAACCACTCACCAATATTCAAGCAATCAAGCAATATTATTATCATTTAAATTAAAAATTTATATGGAGCAAGAAAAAACAGATATACTTGAATGTTTTTATCGAATTCTGAAAATCCAGTTCTGGCTCTTAGAGAGTATCAAAGAAAGTTTCCTGTAAGGCGGATTCGAGAGAAGAAGCTATTTCGAAAAATGTGTGCAAAGTTTAGGCAAAATGGTAGCCTTCTGCCAACGTCCAAGAAAAGAGCACAAGTTCTAATCCTCCACTCGTCAAGCCGCGTTGGAGTTGGATGTTAAAAGAACTAGCCTCAGAAATTGTTTAAAATTAAATAAGCGAAAACATATAAGTTTTTACCAGTGCATTATCTAGAAGAACGAAACTACGACACCAGATTACACAACTCCACACATATTTTAATATACATGCATTTCGCTGATAACGCCTTGTATCATATGATTTGGACCGCTGAGTTGATTTTTCATTAAAAAAAAACACACATTATTGGAATGATGAAAATAAGAAAAGGGTGTTAGAAATATAACGACAAGGTAGACGATCTGTGAAAGTGTGGTGGGGAATATACCGATCAAAGGTTATGGGGCAAATTTTCTTTCATGAAAACTACAAAATACAATTAATAGTAAATGAAATACCAGCTTGTGAACGTACTCAATTAATATGGCATATCACTAAATTCTTAAATCCAAATTACAAGTTTTGTATAGGACAATATCCAGATCCAAGTCCAGATCTTATCCCACTCGACTTTTTTTTATTTAGGACAATTTAAGATATGATATATAAAGAGAGATGGACTGTGGTAAGTGAACTACAAAGGCGTATTACAGAAGTTGTAGTCCAGCTAAATAACACCGATTTTATTTCAAATGATATAAACTATATAGAGGTTGTTTATACAACGTGCATTATTCAAAATGGTGGACATGTTGTAAACC